TTCAAAACCCCAGGAGGTGTCATCCATGGCCATTTCATGAAATACCTTGGTTTGTTTCCAAATTTCCTCCAGATCTGTTTCAATTCTGCCACTTTGGTCTATATAGGAACAACAGCTTTCATTGATTATGGAACAAACCCCTCCTTGTGATGCCAATAACATGTCTAGAGCCATTTGGTTTTGTAATACTACTTTAGACAGGCTGGTTATCTCTTGTTGTTCTGCCTGGATTATATAATATTTTTGCTTCCCATTTCCTCTATAGTTGCTGAGATATTTACAATTGCCTTCTCTAATTCACTTACTCCCAAAGATGGAATTAGCCCTCTTACAAAACTATGAAATGCGGTGTGCCGTTCAAAAATAGGGTTAAACCCTCTCTTAATCCGTTTAGCAAAACTTCTAATCCAGGTCCCAGAAGGATGCCTGTCGATAATAGCAAAATTGGGTATTACAGCACCTAAGGTGCATGCCCCCTTGCAGTTGGGGGGTAGAGTCTTATAAGCATTTTTTCCACATAACCAATACCATCCTTTCCCTTTAGGAACGGGCCACCATTGAACTACAATAACATCTATAGTAATAGTATGATTGCAATTTGAATGGTGACCTACATCTGTGGCATTTAAACAAGCAAAATTTCTTACCCTGGTTTCTGATGTAATACATCTTTGTGCACAGGTGTCATATTTATTACCTATATTAGGATTAACTATTCCAAATTTTAAACTTTCCTTTGAATACAGATTACTAGTGTTCACCCAAAAATTTGTCCATGAGACAGTGTTAGGAATTGGAACTCCAATTAATGGGAGATTCAGACTTTCTCCTGATTTAGGCAACTGTGCACACACCCAACAGTCACTACGATTAAAAACATTAGTAACATTCTGCACTAATTTCAGGTATAAGTTCTGGTGCCAAGCTTGTGTGCCAGTTATCATATGAGTCCAAATTATGACCGACGCAATTTCATACGTAAGGGTCCTGAAGGTTCGATCCGCCATGTCTTCTCTGGCTCTGGTGCTTTCTTAATTCTTGAATAATGTATCCAAGCAGGTTGTTCTTTTATCTTCACTGCTGTAAAGGTGGTCAATAATATCTGGTACGGTCCGCTCCACTTCTCCTGTAGAGGATCTCCTGAAAAATTCTTAACATAAACCCAGTCTCCAGATCTGAAAGGGTGAATTGGATAATCCAAACCTCTTGCTCTTGTCCCTATTATTCTCCTATTTATCTCCTCCAATTGTTTTCCCAGATTGATCAGAAACTGTCGGAGATAGCCTTCTCCTACTTCCTGAAGACTCTCTGCTTTAAACTGGAACTGATACGGTCTTCCATACAAAATCTCAAATGGGATAACCTCTTCTTTTGACCGGGGTTTAGTTCGAATTCTTAATAGAGCCAGTGGTAATGCCTGGTACCAATATAAATTCGTTTCCTGACATATTTTACTAATTTGTTGTTTAATCAGATGGTTCATCTTTTCTACTTGCCCACTGGCCTGAGGCCTATATGGAACATGTAGTTGCCAATCAATTTCTAATTTTTTGCTAATTTCTTGTAACAATTTGGCACTAAAGTGTGAACCCCGGTCGGAAGAAATTGCCGCTGGTACTCCAAAATGATCTTATTATCTTGTTAAATAATATTTTAATCACTTGTTTTGCATTATTTATTCTGTAAGGGAATGCTTCTGGCCAGCCTGAAAAAGTATCCGTTAACACCCATAAATATCGATAACCACCCCTTTTTTTTTTTTTGGTAATTCAGAAAAATCTATTTGCCACTGCTGTCCGGATAACTTCCTCTCCCAGTTGTCCCAGTTTGATTTCTATTTTCAGTCTTAGGATTATTCTTAAGACATAGCTGACATTGTTTTGTCACTAATTGAACTGTGGTGTATAGATTCCTTCCTACAATTTGTTTGTCTAAATATTTATGCAAAGAGTTGCTACCCCAATGAGTTTTATTATGTTCTTCCTGAGCTAACATCCAGAGCTGGTTATAGGGGATTACAATTCGCCCACCAGGTATTTGAGCCCAACCCTCTATTTTCCTGTCCCTTTAGATCCTCAATCAATTTTCTATCCTCTTTTGAATATCTAGGTTTAGATTTTTCAATTGTTAGTTTGCCATCAGGGATTAAGGACATGATTTGAAATTGTTCAGCTGCTCGTTTGGCTTCAAAATTGGCCAAATTATTTCCAGTTTCTTGATCAGAGCCACCTTGTTGATGTCCTTTACAGTACATAACAGCTACTTCTTCAGGTAGCTGAACAGCTTCCAGTAATTGTAGAATTTCTGTAGCATGGTTAATCTGTTTCCCTTGTGTGTTCAAAGGTCCACATTCTTTCCAGATAGCACCATGGACATGGACCACACCAAATGCATATTTAGAATCAGTCCAAATATTTATCCTTGTATCTTTAGCCAGTTCCAGGGCTTCTGGGCAGAGGTGTTACCAGGTAAAGGCTTAGCTTCTATTACCTGTGAAGTGGTGGTAATGGCATATTCTAACTTTCATTTACCATTTTTCATGAAGCTACTACCATCAGTAAACCAAGAATCACCATCTTCCATAGGTTTTTCTTTCAAGTCTGGTCGGCTCGAATATACAGTCTCTATGGTGGTCAAGCAGTTGTGTGTTAGTGGTTCTGTCAATTGTTCCTGCAAAAGGATGCTGGATTTACAGCGTTAGTGACCACAATTTCTGTATCATCCTGTTCTACAGTGGTGGCCTGGTATTTAAAAAAACGTGAAGGAGATAACCAGTGGGCTCCTTTCTGCTCCAGGACTGCTGATACCACATGGGACACTAGTACAGTAATCTTTTGTCCCAAAGTAAATTTGCAAGCCTCTTTAATATTTGTGATAACTGCTGCCATAGCTTTTAGGCATCTGGGCCATCCTTTGCTCGCTTCATCCAGCTGTTTTGAAAAATAGGCCACTGCCCTTCTGCAGGGTCCTAGTTTCTGAGCAAGGACCCCCAAAGCTATTCCCTGTTCTTCACAGGAATATAGCCAAAAGGATTTAGTCACATCCAGGAGTCACAGAGCTGCAGTTCTCATTAGCTCTGTTTTTAAATTTCTAAAAACCCCCTCTGCTATATCAGTCCATTCTAAAGAGGGAGAGTTTCCTTTCAACAGTTCATATAGTGGTCTTACCAGAACACCATAATCATGGATCCAAAGTCTGCACCATCCAGTCATTCCCAGGGATGTCCGGAGCTCCTTGACGGTCAATGGTCTTGGAGTCTGGCAAATGGCTTCTTTTCTAGCAGTTCCAAGTTCTCTCTGTCCTCCTGTTATTTCATATCCTAGGTAGGAAACTTGGGTTTGGGTTAGTTGGGCCTTTTGTCTGGATACCCGATAACCATTCAGTCCCAGAAAATTTAACAATTCCACTGTCCACTGGATACATTCTTCCTTTGTTTCTGTAGCAATTAACAGGTCATCCACATATTGTAACAGAGTCCCGTTTGAGTAGGTGGCTTCCATGATTCTAGTTCTCATGCTAGCTGATTTCCAAAAATTGCCGGACTGTTTTTTTTTTTTTAACCCTTTAGGTAATACTGTCCAAGTTAATTGAGTTTCCCTTCCTCTGTCAGGATTTTCCCATTTGAAAGCAAATAATTGTGGCTTTCTTTGGCCAATGGTAAGCAAAAGAAAGTGTCCTTTAAATCCAGGATGGCAAACAATTTCTGATTATTATTCAATTTAGTCAATCAGTCATACGAATTAACTACTACTGGATGAATATCCTGTGCAATTTTGTTGATTGCCCTGAGATTGTGAACCAATCTACAACTTTTCTCATCATATTTCTTTACTGTCCAGATAGGAATATTATATTCCGATTCACATTCAATTAATAATCTATATTTTAAAATTTATCAATTTTTTTTTTATTCCCTTTGATCTTCTAATTTTAAGGGATACTGTTTTATTCTAATTGGGTAGGCCCCCCTTTTTATTTCCACTTTAACAGGCAAAGCATTTTTCGCCTTACCTGGAACTTCAGATGCCCATACTCCCACATATACCTGATTAAGGATTTCTTCTATTTCAGGGAGGTCCTCCTTTTTGCTTTTCTGTTGAATTAAACTCAAAACTGCAATTAATTGTTTTTAACTCTGAATTCCATTTTGCCTTCTTTAAATGTTGCTTCTTGCCCTAACAAAGATTGTAGAGAATTTGGCATGCATAAAAATTTATGCATTCCCATTTGTTTTCCCAATTTGTACTTTAAAGGTTTCAGAAAGAATGCCTTTTTTTTTTTTTTTTCTTTTTCTTTCCTGGTGGCCAGTAGCTCCCACATCTGTAACGAATTCTTTTCTCTCTGATTTAACACCAAATAATTTGCTCCTGTATCCACTAAAATTCCACTTTATTTCCTCTAGTCCCTAGTTTTAATGTAACCAGTGGATCTGCTAGCGTAGATTCCCCAGGTCCCCGTCAGTTTAGTTCCAGTTCAGTCACCGGAGCCACTCCATGGCACTGCCCTCCCCAGGCAGTCTCACTTCCAGCGTCCAAAACCCCCCATAGCACGCACACCGGTCCGGTCCCACAGAAGAGAAGAGCCCACTCCCCCACCTCCTCCCGACATCCCTCCTCCCACGCTCAAACACAGGAGCTGCTCGAGCTCCCCTCCTTTCCCCCTTGGTTTTCCTTTTTTTTTTTTTTCTTTTTCTCACAGCAGCTCCCCCTGCTCTGCAGGGCCTGCAGATGCCTGCCTCTGCAACGGCACTTCTGGTTTAACCCCTTCTTAACTCTGAATGTGAATGTGCCGCTTGTTGCCAGTGACAGAAATCTCTTCCTCCTTATCAATATCAGATAGGACAGATGCAGAGGGTGCTCCTCTCGGAGGTACCTGTAGTACGTGATTTTCCACCTTATGTTCCTGATTACTGTTTTTTAACTTTAAACATCTTTCCCCAATATCACAGGCTGAGCATCTCCAGCTTAACTTTCAGTTTTTCCCTGTCCTTTTCCAAAGCGAAAATTAAGGAATCTGGCAGAGCTATATTAATTTTGCATTCAGTCTGTCACTCTGTGTGATTTCTTAAAGTGAAAAACATATCTGCATACATTACTTCATCCCATTTTCCTTGCCCCCTTAAAACAACATTAATTGTAACACTGTATTATAGTTCAGAGTTCCAATTTTAGGCCATTTTTCCTGATCTTCCAAAGTATACAAAGGCCACCATTGGTTACAATATTTTACCAATATTTTCTTATTTACCAAGCCCCCAGGAGACCCTCCAAGTTCTTTCCAGTGTGCCAAAATGCACCCAAAAGGATTCTTTTTCAAGATCTCTTCACTCTGCTGATTTTCCATTATCAGTCTCACATTCACACACACACACACACACACACAGACGAGATCCCCAGACATACTCCACACAGTTACAACACTTGAGACAAAGACAGAGACTTAAATTCAACCAAACAAACAACAGTTAACAACACAGTTACAACATCCTGTCACCAGTACCAAAATCACAAGACCAAAATCATTACAGTAAAAAGCCACAAAATAAGGCGAATACCAGTAGAATCAAAAGCAATACTTCCTAACCCCTATGGCTCAGACCATATTGTAACATTAATAGGGGGGTTTCCTTGAACCCTTTATAGTTGACCAGCCTGCGTCTTGTAGGACCTAAATCACAAGATGCCCCCTGCTTAGTTATAACAGTCTGTCACTGATACCAAAATCACAAGACCAAAATCCTTAATATAACAAGCCACAAAATAAATCAAATGCTTCTTGTGGGTGTATACCAGTAAAATTCAAAACCTTTTCTGCAAGACACCCCCTGTGTCCTGCAGGACCCAAACCACAAGAAGCCCCCTGCTTCTTGGGGGTGTATACCAAACGGACGCTAGCAGCCGGGTATACCCCTTTACCCACGAGATTTCTTATCTTGATTTATGGAAGGCTTCCAAACCATGCGTACGCTTACCAAACCAATTTACCAAACCAATTTACCAAACCGAGGTGCCCCCTGCACCTTACAGACTATACAAAAAATAGAATACCTTTTATGAGATGGTCCTTGTCTGCTCCTGCAGCGATCCGAATGAGTCGAGGGGTCCCTCCAGGAAAAATTCCCCAGGGCCCTAGGGAGCCCTGTCCTCAGCAGGTCCTGCAGCTGAGCAGAGAGGGTCCCATCTGAACAAACTTGCCAACAAAGTTTTCAAGCTGACAAGCAGGTATTCTTTACTGCGGCGCCGGGAGACACGGGGGATAACTCCTCCTAGCGTGTGTCCCCACATTGCCATACAAGCCATCCTTATATAGTCCCTGGGCATACATACATATTCATGAGGCTACATATGGATTACATCATTTTCCAGAGAGTTCCCCGCATGTGTACAGAATTGTGGTGGTGGTCTCTGAGGGTCGTTTACTTCTTCCAACAATCTTCATCACTTCTGGCAGCCTTTGAAGCACGCGCAGTAGATGCTCATACCAGTTTAATTGGTTCGTTAGCACCAGAGACATAATAATCCTCCTATCCTCCTACTTATCAGTTAGTTTAACTGTAGCTCATCCTGGACACCTGCAGTTCCCAGATACCCCTTATCCCTGTGTCCTGTTTTTCTAGG